TATTTGAAGCAGTGGTTATATGAATGTATACATGTCAAAACTCACAGAATGTTACACTAAAATGGCTGAATTTTAGTGAATGTAATCTATACATCTGAATAAAGAATGATAAAATAGAGACTAAAGAGACATAATGATGTGCTGAGTGAACCTGAATTTTACCCAGTCCTTTGAGACGGAGTCTTGCTCTGTCACCAGGCTGGAGTGCAGTGGCACAATCTTGGCTCACTGTAACCTCCGCCTCCTGGGTTCAAGTGATTCTTCCACCTCAGCCTCCTGAGTAGCTGGGACTACAGACACGTGTCACCATGCCTGGCTAATTTTTGTATTTTTAATAGAGACAGCGTTGCACCATGTTGGCCAGGATGGTCTTGATCTCCTGACCTCATGATCCGCCTACCTCAGCCTCCCAAAGTGATGGGATTAAAGGTGTCAGCCATGGCGTCCAGCCCAAAATTTTTTTTAATAAACTATAAAAAATATTTTGGGAACAAATAGAGAAAATTGAGTAAGTATTGAGTAATATTATAGAAAGAACATTAATCTTTCTTGATGTGAATAGCTGCAGTTGGTTATGCAGAAAAAGGGTCAGCAGACTTCTGTAAAAGGCCAGATAGTAAGCATTTTCTGCTTTGTGGATCACACAGTCTCTGTTGTAACTACTCAACTCTGCCTCTACAGCACCAAAGTAGCCATAGAAGAGTGGTATCAATGGTAAAAACCTCCCACCCTAGCATCCGTATCATACAAACACACTGATATCCACCTTCCCCAGGCACTGAACACAGCACTGCCCCACAGAAATGTTCATACACAGTATTTCAGTACCAGGTACATCCTCTCAGCAAAGTCTGACAAAAACCATTCATATTCTATTTCTAACATCACAATCAACTCATAGGTGGCCTAGAAAACTATAAATGAGGACAGACACATGAAAAACTTACTTTTTTTTTTGAGACACAGTCACACTCTGTCACATAGGCTGGAGTGCAGTGGCGTGATCTCAGCTCACTGCAACCTTCACCTCCCAAGTTGAAGCGATTTTCCTGCCTCAGCCTCCCCAGTAGCCGGGATTACACCGCCTGCCACAACGCCTGGCTAATTTTTGTATTTTCAGTAGAGACACGGTTTCGCCATGTTGACCAGGCTGGTCTTGAACTCCTGACCTCAAGTGATCCGCCCACCTCGGCCTTCCAAAATGCTGCAATTACAGGCGTGAGCCACTGAGCCAGGCCATGAAACAAACTTTCTTCCACCAAGGGCTTTCTCCTCTCTCCCCATTTACAGCAGTAAGACAGCCTAACCTGGGAAAGAGAGTGAGAGAGGGAAGTTAATTCCAAATGGATGCCTGTCCCCATCAGTAATAACCAAGTCTATTCAAGTGCTAGATGTTAACTTTAAATGAAGGGAACATCGAGAGTCCAAGTTTCTTCGCCTAGCTTTGTCAGGAATGTTTTTACCCTCAATCTCAAAGTGTGATCAAATATAATATTTAAAGGTTTACCCTCAATCTGTAAGTTTGTTCAAATATAATTTTTCATGTTTTTACCCTCAATCTGTGTGATAAAATCTATTTTTTAAAGGTTTATCCTCAATCTGTAAGTGTGATCAAATATAATTTTTAAAGGTTCACTATAATCTCTTCATACAAAACTAATGGAAAGATGGAATAAAATACACAGAAATGTCCTTAACAGGTAAGTATTTCTAGAATGCATCTACTCCACCTGGTACTGTAAGTATTCTAAACTGTACTAGTATAACTGATTTAAATCACTGTTTTTTTCTGTAAACGGTGGCACCTTTAAAGTGTTATTTTGAAAGGGAAAGGAGCGACTTGCTCATGTCTCTGTACTGAACACTGTTAACATCCAGTCTAGTTCTACCTTATACAAGTCTGAGAAATACAGACATAATCCATACTTATTATTTTTCAAGACTAAGGTTAAAGAAAAGGAAAGAAAGTTGGAACTAACTCATATCCTCTTATGACTGATGTACTGAAAACAATCCATCTCTCACTGTTTCCTAAATACCACAGTCACAAAGAGCTCTACCCTACCAAGCCACTCTGCAAGTCCCACTCTCAAAGGAAGACTAACAGGTGACTGAGAAGATAAACTCACTATTGTTTCCATTATCCTTCAGTTCATCTGGCACCTTTGAGAAATGCATTTGGATAAGACTCAAGTCTCAGGGCCCCTTATTTATGGACGAAATCGCTAAACCTCTATACTTAGAAGCATCAGACTTTTAAGAATGCTTAAGTCATGTAAAAACGTATCACAATTATTATCATTACATCTACGAGGAAATAGCTACCTACTTCGTGTTAGGTACTGTAGTAAGTACCTCACATAGTCTCATTTATTCCTGAGAACACAGCAAAGCATGTCACTAACCCTTAAGGAGTAGGAAACTGACGCTCTGACAGGCTATGCAACTGGTCAATGGAAATGTGAGGATCTGAACTCTACCTAGCTCCAAAGCATGTACTTTTTCCTAAAATTTCTCATTTTTTTCCCCAATTTCCCAATGGAGGGAGGGTTATAACTAGATTTCTCCAACAATTTTAATAATTTCACCAGCTGGGTGAGGTGGCTCACACCTGTAATTCCAACACTGTGGGAGGCTGAGGTGGGAGGATGGCTTGGGTCCAGGAGTTAGAGACAACTGGCAAACAGTGATACTCCGGCTCTAAAAAAAATAATACTTTCACCCAAGGTGGGGTGGAATTTCTAAATCGGAATCTCTTGTTGAAATCCTTAGAGCACTAGTTAAGCCCCACTTCTTTTCAAAAAATAACCAACAGATTTTTTAAAAGGTTAGAAATCCTTTTAAAATAAATTTCATCATAAAGCCCCAAGTTAATTGTCATTTTGAAAAAGTCCCCAGAGTTAGTGGCTTTCTCCTATGTATGCTAGCTACCACTAGGCAGTAAAAATAATGTACCCAATTCAAATACATATTCTGCCTGCACTATGTTAAGACTCTACTGACAAAGAGGGTACAAAGCTTAATAAGGTCTATCACAGACCTCAAGGAGTTAAAGGACTAGAGGAGGAGTCCATTTACAGGATGTGTGCAGTTACCATTTAGTCAAGGCAGATGAAGTGTGAGAAATCCTAAAACAATTGTATATACAGTATAACACGCCATCACAGCCCAGAGAAGGAAAGCAACTGGTGTACTCGTGACGTTATGTTGTTAGTAGTACTTGTTTACATTATGTCTCCCTCCCTGACAATCCCTTCCAACCTCTGTCAACCTCCTCCTCCACAATCACACACACACACACACACACACACACACACACACAACCACACAACCAGGAAGGGAAGCCATCGAGCGAGTATTCTGAATTCTAAAAGTGACTGTAGTTTTAAAAGTGCCTGAAGAAAATTTGTCTTTAGTTTCATCAGGTGAAGAAAGTTAATTTATAACACAAGGCCCACCGGAGAAGCCCAGGAACTCTTCTCCACATGACTCACTTAGCATGGGAAATCACTCAAAAGCAAACTGACACACACAGTATTTCTCAAATTTTTCTTTTTCATTTAGCAGGTGGTAAAGGAACACAACTGAAGTTAACGATAAATGACACTCTGGACATTTTCTTCCACTATGAATGACAGACATTTAAGCTAGTTCCATCTAGGAAACTCAAACAAAATTATGTTCATCTCATAAGCCACAAGAACCAAATTCAGTGGAATACGAGCACCCAAAACTTGACAAGACTTGTACTTAATGCAGCCTGCAAATCCCCAAGAGTCCACGATGGAATACAAGAACAGAAACACTGATTTATCTCAACTGATGTCACCTCCTTCACAAACTTGCCAATAATGACCTTTTAAGAACTGCACCTTTTGTCCTCATCTGGGCAATCCAACGGTTTAGAAAAACTGAATAAACTGCTTCTTTGAAAAATAAAACAATTGTGTGGGGAGGTGCGGGTGAGTAGCAACAAAAAAAAAGGCACACTAGTTTTTACTGTACTGAAGCAATAAACTCTCCGAATAACTTCATTAAAGAGTGTCGCAACAAAGAATGAATAACAAAATAACGCTCAATCCAACTTTTACTGCGAATTCCTGAGTTCACAGTAGGACCTAGAAAATTAAACGCGACGGTATCACTCGGCTGTAAGAACTTCCAAAACAAAACAAACTTATCTACCCCCTTTCTTGATTTAAAAAAAAAGGGGAGGGGGAGTTTGAGGGTTTTTCCTTTTTTTTCAACTTCACATACTGGTTGGCTTTGCAAAAAAAAAAAAAAAAAAAAGGCAGTGAGCCATATTTACAAAAAAAAAAAAAGTGTTTTGTTTTGTTTGCTCTCAAGATATAGCTGGAAGTTGAGCCGGCTGCACGGGTCGCAGAGCGCGTGAGGACCACACAGGTCTCCTGGGCCGCTCGCCTCCGATCAGCGCGGTTTCAGCCCGGCCGCGCCCCCGAAAAGGCACAGAACGGCCCCGGCAGGCGGCCGCCGCCCGACGTGTTTACCGCCCGGGTCGGCCCCGGGGAACCGCTCCTTCGCGCCCGCAGCACTTGTTCGCGGCGCGGACTCTACACCGCGGCCGCCAGCCCCAGGGGAGGAGCGGGCCCGCCCCCGCGGCGCCTACCCGGGGACCCGGGCCAGGGGTCCGGGCCTCACTGGGGGCGGGGCGCCTGTAGGGGCCTCAGCGGCCGAGCACGTCTCCGACCTGGAGAGCCGTGACTGACCCAAGTGGCGCCGCGGGGTGGGAAGCGCGCCGAGCTCCGAACAGACAATGCGGGAGAAGGGTGATGCGACGGGAGGAGGGGTCTGCAAAGTAAAGGTCCCGGCGCCGCCAGGTAACCCGTCCGTCCCGCCCGCCCCCAAAGCCCCCGCAGCCCCCGCCCCTCCTCCGAGGCCCACCCCACCGAGCGGCCGCAGGGAAGGGGCGGCGCTCCGCACCCAGACCCCTCCACAAATCAAAACTTGCCTTAACTCCGCTAACTAAGTTCCGCTCTTACCGTGCGGCACCCAGGGCTCCCCCGCGGGCCGAGCCGGGACAGCTCCTCACCTTCGCCACGGAGAAAGACAATAGGCGGCCGCTCCACTGGCGGCGGCGGCGGCGGCGGCGGCTAAAGCGGTGGCGACAGAGGAGAGCAGTGGACACTACGGTCGGAGCCCAAGCAAGTCTCCGGAGCTGCTCCGGCTCCGCGCTCCCCAGCACACAGACCCAGCCCACCCGCGCATGCGCCGCAGGCTGCCCGGGATGGGCGGGGCACGCGGGAGGGCGGTAAGGCCTGAGAGTCCTCCAGTGAATACACGCGGAGCTAAGGGTTGCGAGCTGGGATTGCACGGCAGAGCTGCCCATCCCGCTCCACGACACCAATAGTAAGGCTCCTGGGCGGGGCACGCAGGTTGCTAAGGGAGACTGAGGTTGGCCGCCACTGTTACTGGCGGCAAAGTGATCAAAGTGGGGTGGCTGGCTGAGGCTGCTCTGGGAAATGGCCACCCAGAGCATTTCTCTCCGCCCTGTCTCCAGAAACCGCCCTTCCTCTCTGTGCCGGTGGTTAGCTGAACTGTAGCACATAACCACACATCCTGAAATGATTTACTCCTCTACTTCCCCCACTTCAAATCAGGAAGTGGGGTTTAGTGTTCTGTGTTCACAGCCTAGCAGAGTCACTGCTAGGTATTAAACAAGTTCTTTTTTTTTTGTATTTTTAGTAGAGACAGGGTTTCACCATGTTGACCAGGATGGTCTCGATCTCTTGACCTCGTGATCTACCCACCTCGGCCTCCCAAAGTGTTGGGATTACAGGCATGAGCCACCACCCCTGGCCTTGTCTCAGGTCTTTATGATTCTAAATTCCTGTTCTCTTTTCATATAGCATGATCACACAACTCCTTTTTCTTTCTCTAGGAGGATCTGAGTGAGAAGAACATTTCTGGGTTGTCTTTTGAAAAAAACGAATGCAGAATTGTCCAGCCTACAGGAGCCCAGGTCTGTCTTGGGTTGGAGCACAAGGTCATCCTGACCCTCCCCAACCACTGCGTTTACTCATGAAGTTCAGATTTAGGGAAAGAGGTTGACCTAGAGAAGATGGGGCAAACCCAGATGAAGGAGACACTTTTGACAAGACTTTTCTATTTGGCTTAAGTCTCTACAAACTGATATCATTGTTTTTAGCATGGCATGCTCTAATTGTTTTGATATTTTATTTTTGGTTAGTTCATGTTGCAGATATTGTTACTTTTATTATTATTATTTTGAAATGGAGTCTTGCTTTGTCACCAGGCCAGAGTGCAGTGGTGCAATTTCGGCTCACTGCAAGCCCTGCCTCCTGGGTTCAAGTGATTCTCCTGCCTCAGCCTCCCAAGTAGCTGGAAATTACAGGCGCCCACCACCAGGCCCAGCTAATTTTTGTATTTTTAGTAGAGATGGGGTTTCACCATGTTGGCCAGTGTGGTCTCAAGCTCTTGATCTCCTGATCCACCCGCCTCAGCCTCCCAAATTGCTGGATTACAGATGTGAGCCACCATACCCGGCCACAGATATTATTTAATAATAGAATAAATACGTCCCTTCATTTTGGAAGCATTATATACATCTTTCCCGAATTCTTGAATAGACTGACGAGCAGAACTGAACAGGTGCATTTCCAGCTATTGGCCTTAGGACTGTTTCTGCTAAAGTTGAATGAAGTTTGGTAGTTTGGTCAATGACCATAATTCCACTCACCAACCCAGTCTTCGAGTGGAATTACACATTAGCACTGCCCTCTTCCCCCAGAGCAGTCCACTTCAGTCCACTGGAGTTTGTGAAACCAGCTGCACCTTGGCAAGCCCTGGCCTGGGATTAATTTGCCAGGGAGGTTATTCAGAGACGTCTCTGACTCAACTTTGGGGCCAACTCTGAGCACCAAGCCCCAGCCCTGACCTCTTTTGATTTTTCTCTGTGCTGATTCATTCTGGGTTGGGACTTTATTGTCAGCAATTGTAATTGCATATGGGTGGAACATGGATTTTAAATATGACAAGGAGCCAAGTCTAGGGCATCTGCTAGCTTTGTTATTAATTGTGTCATTTTTTATTAATTGAAAAAAGGAAGGAAAGAAGGGACGATAGGAAGTAGAGAGAAAAGAAGTAAAAAAAAAAGGGAAATATCCCACCGACCCAAGCTACAACCTGTTCTCTTCCACCCTCTATATTTTCTCAAAGGGCTTGGAAAGACTTGTCCTGAATCTTGTTCACATAACAGGAAGCCAGGTACAGTAGACAAATATGGCTGGGTACAATGGCTCATGCCTGTAATCCCAGCACTTTGGGAGGCCAAGGTGGGTAGATCACCTGAGGTCAGGAGTTTGAGATCAGCCTGCCCAACATGGTGAAACCCTGTCTCTGCTAAAAATACAAAAATTAGCTAGTCATGGTGGTGCCTGCCTGTAATCCCAGCTACTTAGGAGGCTGAGGCAAGAGAACCACTTGAACCCAGGACTCAGAGGTTCCAATAAGCCAAGATTGTACACTCCAGCCTGGGCGACAGAGCGAGAGTTCATCTCAAAAAAAGAAAAGAAAGAGTATAGATTTTAGGTTAGCATATCTGAATAATAGTGTGATAATGGGCAAGTTATGTAAACCTCTTTGAACCTCTGTTTCCCAATCTGTAAAACAGCAATAATATTTACTAAATAATGATATATAGTATTGTCACAATGGTTAGAAATATTCTTTTTTTTTTTTGAGACGGAGTTTTGCTCTTGTTACCCAGGCTGGAGTGCGATGGCTCGATCTTGGCTCACTGCAACCTCCGCCTCCTGGGTTCAGGCAATTCTCCTGTCTCAGCCTCCTGAGTAGCTGGGATTACAGGCACGCGCCACCATGCCCAGCTAATTTTTTGTATTTTTAGTAGAGCCGGGGTTTCACCATGTTGACCAGGATGGTCTCAATCTCTTGACCTCGTGATCTACCCGCCTCGGCCTCCCAAAGTGCTGGGATTACAGGCGTGAGCCACCGCGCCCAGCCCGGTTAGAAATATTCTATACAAAGTGCCTGGCACATTAAAAAGCATTAATACTTTGCAAATATTATTGTTACAGCTATTTTTATTAAGGGACCCTTTGAAGAAGTGAGAATGTAGCCTCACAGAACAGACTGAAAGTTTAAATTTCATTCCTCTGAAATTGTGGCAGAATGTTCTACGCTCCCTTTGAGTGGAGACTTGGGAATGTCTAAGTACAATGGTGGTTGGGTCTCAGGGAGTGACTCAGGCTGTGGGAATATTCAAAACAGTCAGTATAGGAGAGGATCAGCCAATAAACAGAAGGCAAGTATTTGGGGAAGCAGTAGGAACTGAACAGAAAGAGCTCCCTTAGTGCTGGCAGCTCCCATTTACTAAAAGAATAATCTTGTACAAGTTGCATAAATCACTAAGACTTGGTTCTCTTATCTGTGTCAATCTCTTTGGGTTGCCATGAGGATTAGAGGAGATCGCACATGGAAAGTGTCTAGCACAAATTAAAGTGCTTAGTAAAGAATTACCTCACGTGTGAAGGAGAAACAAATTGAAATATACCAAGCTCAAGGGTAGCATAGACTGGAGCAATACTGCCTGGTTCAGATCTGAGCTCCAGTACTGTCTGTCTCACTTTCTCATCTGTGAAATGGATATAATAGCTTCCTTGGCTGTACTTACCACATACATGTGTTAAGAGGAATAATTTTGAGTCAATATATGTAAAGCATTTATAATATGGTCAAGTATTATATAAATAAATATTAAATAAATACATAGAGAAGTCTAGTCCTAGTGCTAGGACAAGAACAGATGGCAAAACCAGAAGGATAAAAAACTAAATTGAGCTGGACACAGTGAAATGTGCCTATAATCCCAGTTACTTGGGAGGCTGAGGCCAGAGGATCAGTTGATCCCAGAAGTTTGACACCCAGCCTGGGTGACACAGTGAAACATCTCTGTATAAATAAATAAAATTGTTGACTTTTGACCAGAGTGGGCCATAAAGCATAAAAGCAGTAGTGGCCAGGCACAATGACTCACACCTGTAATACCAGCATCTTGGGAGGCTGAGATAGGTGGATCTCTTGAGCTCAGGAGTTTGAGACCATCCTGGGCAACATGACGAAACCCTGTCTCTACTAAAAATACAAAAATTAGCTGGGCATGGTGGTACACACCCGCAGTCCTAGCTACTTGGGAGGCTGAGGCATGGGGTCACTTGAGCCAGTGAGGTCGAGGCTGCAATGACCCGAGATCATGCTGCTGCACTCCAGTCTACGCAACAGAGCCATACCCTGTCAGATAGAAAGAAGGAAGGAAGGAAGACAGAAAGAGAGAGAGAAGGAAGAAAGGAGCAAGGGAGGGAGGGAGGGAAGGAGGAAGGAAGGAAGGAAGGGAGGGAGGGAGGGAGGGAGGGAGGGAGGGGCAAAATAGTATTAAAGCAAGTGCTTCCTCTTCTTTTTTTCTCTTTCTTTTTAAAAAATAGGCTGCAGTCTTTCTTTCTGCTGACGGGATGCCGAAAGGAAAGACGGCCAAGGGGAAGAAGGTGGCTCCGGCCCCTGCTGTCGTGAAAAAGCAGGAGGCTAAGAAAGTGGTGAATCCCCTGTTTGAAAAACGGCCTTAAAATTTTGGTATTGGACAGGACATCCAGCCCAAAAGAGACCTCACCCGCTTTGTCAAATTGCCCCGCTATATCAGGTTGCAGCGGCAGAGAGCCATCCTCTACAAGTGGCTGAAAGTGCCTCCTGCAATTAACCAGTTCACCCAGGCCCTGGGCCGCCAAACAGCTACTCAGCTGCTTAAGCTGGCCCACAAGTATAAACCAGAGACAAAGCAAGAGAAGAAGCAGAGGCTGTTGGCCCGGGCCGAGAAGAAAGCGGCTGGCAAAGGGGACGTCCCCACTAAGAGACCACCTGTCCTTCGAGCAGGAGTCAACACCATCACCACCTTGGTGGAGAACAAGAAAGCTCAGCTGGTGGTGATTGCACACGACGTGGATCCCATTGAGCTGGTTGTCTTCTTGCCTGCCCTGTGTCGAAAAATGGGAGTCCCTTACTGCATTATCAAGGGGAAGGCAAGACTGGGACGTCTAGTCCACAGGAAGACCTGCACTACGGTAGCCTTCACACAGGTTAACGCGGAAGACAAAGGTGCTTTGGCTAAACTGGTGGAAGCCATCTGCACCAATTACAACGACAGATACGATGAGATCTCCTGTCACTGGGGAGGCAATGTCCTGGGTCCCAAGTCTGTGGCTCGCATCGCAAAGCTAGAGAAGGCAAAAGCTAAAGAGCTTGCCACGAAACTGGGTTAAATTTACACTGTTCTCTGTAAATAAAAATAAAACAATGAAAATTTTCCTTCAAAAAAAAAAAATAGGCTGCAGGCAGTAAGGGGTGAGGGTGTGTCAGCCTGAGTGAAAGAGCAGGATGTGAGTGGACCCAGTCCTTTCAAGCTGCCATGGATCCCAGGAAAACGCCATGGAATCACTTTAACAGCAAGTTCTGCTTCCTTAGCTTCCCAGACCTGGTGCCTGAGAGTGACTCTAAACATTTTCTGTGGGGGTGGGCTTGGTTAGGAAAAGCTCACTCCATGGGAATGGTCACTGCTTTCAAGAGCACCATGGCCATATCCAAAGCCAACTGACTGAGTGAATGAGAAACCCCAGTGAGTTCTGCTGCTTCTGCTGTCTGACTGGTACAAAGCGGGATGTAAAATATTCAAATTCCAGGGATACAGCCAACTGTGCAAATTCCTGACGGGCAAATTGAGGCCATTATCTGTAATTACAGTCGCCTGAATTCCATGCCAGCAAGACCCTGTTTTCCAGCAGTCAGCGATAGCAGCTGCTGCCCTGGTGCCAAATGCATCCAGGGAAAGTCCCAGGAGTGCAGATGAACAGCCCTCACAGGGTATTCCTGACACCCTCTGACAAAAATACCAAATCTCACTTAAAACCTGAAGACAGCGCCTATGGCTCTCAGGATTAACTCTTTGGTTAGGCTTGTCATCATTTGGGATATCACCATCTTGAACCTCTTTTCCCCAACAATCTTCCCTTAACCCCAACTGAATTGCTTGTTTATAATGAATGACCTGATCCCTGATTCCATCCTATTGACCCTCATTAAGGTGCTTCCTTATGTGTGATTTAGTCCTTGGGCCAGGGATGACCTCATCACTAACTCCCACTCATCCTTAAAAACTTAGCTCACACCTCCTTCTCTGGACATCCTCAGGCTGGATTTGATTTCTTTTCTCTTGGGCTCCCATTGTGCCTGTGCTCACACAACACAGCACTGTCATTCTTTGATTTGTCTCCTCTGGTAGACTGCAAGCTCCCTGAGGGCAGGGGCCATATATATATATATATATATATATATATTTTTTTTTTGAGACAGAGTTTCGCTCTTATTGCCCAGGCTGGAGTGCAATGGTGTGACCTTGGCTCACGACAACCTCCATCTCCTGAGTTCAAGAGATTCTTCTGCCTCAGCCTACCAAGGAGGTGGGATTATAGGCATGCACCACCACGCCCTGCTAATTTTTTGTATTTTTAGTAGAGGCAGGGTTTCTCCATGTTGGTCAGGCTGGTCTCGAACTTCCAATGTCAGATGATCCGCCTGCCTCAGTCTCCCACAGTGTTGGGATTACAGGCGTGAGCCACTGCGCCCGGCCTTAAAAGTAACGTTAAGGCTGCAATTTTTCTTTTTTTTGAGATGGAGTCTTACCATGTCACCTAGGCTGAAGTGCGATGGCACGATCTCGGCTCACTGCAACCTCTGCCTCTTGGGTTCAAACTATTCTCCTGCATCAGCTTCCTGAGTTAGCTTCCTGAGTAGCTGGGATTAAAGGCGCACATCACCACACCTGGCTAATTTTTATATTTTTAGTAGAGCCGGGGTTTCACCACGTTGGGCAGCCTGGTCTCAAACTCCTGACCTCGTGATCTGCCTGCCTCGGCCTCCCAAAGTGCTGGGATTACAGGCTCACGCGCCCAGACCAGGGGTCATGTCTTCTTAGATTTTCTCAGAATCCAGCACAGTATCTGGCATCACTGGTCATTCATCCAGTGGCTGTTAGATCATGAATAAATGACATCTTCCCTGCTGTAGCGCTAAGGAAATTGTTCTTTCACTTGGTTAGATCCTCCTCCGAGATTACTACTCAGACTTACTCCTAAAAGCAACCAGTGAAAACCCACAAAGAAAATTTCATGAGTATACTGAGTACAAACTCAACTCACCACATGCCCTTCTATTTTTAACACTGTTTAATCTTACAAGGTTGGGTTCCCTAGGTATATAATAAGGCATAAAGATTTAATTAACCTTGCTGCTTCTGTTTTGTCAGGGTGCTCTACTGAGGCCTTATTTAAATAGGATTTCATGCTAGTTTCTTCATAGTTATTAACCAAGTCCAAAGGTTTTTATTCTATTTCTACCCATAGCATTATTTGAAGTGTAACTGTTAAGAAGTGTCTTTTTTTGGCCGGGTGCAGTGGCTCAAGCCTGTAATCCCAGCACTTTGGGAGGCTGAGGCGGGTGGATCACGAGGTCAAGAGATCAAGACCATCCTGGTCAACATGGTGAAACCCCGTCTCTACTAAAAATACAAGAAATTAGCTGGGCATGGTGGCACATGCCTGTAATCCCAGCTACTCAGGAGGCTGAGGCAGAATTGCCTGAACCCAGGAGGCAGAGGTTGTGGTGAGCCGAGATCACGCCATTGCACTCCAGCCTGGGTAACAAGAGCGAAACTCCATCTCGGAAAAAAAAAAAAAAAAAAAAAGAAATGTCTTTTTTTTTTTTTTTGAGACAGAGTCTCACTAACTCTGCTGCCCAGGCTGGAGTGCAGTGGCACGATCTCCGCTAACTGCAACCTCTGCCTCCTGGGTTCAAGAGATTCTTCTGCCTCAGCCTCCCAAGTAGGTGAGACTATAGGTACGCACCACTGCACCCAGCTAATCTTTGTATTTTTAGTAGAGATGGGGTTTCACCTTTTTAGCCAGGCTGGTCTCGAACTCCTGACCTGAAGTGATCCACCTGCCTTCGCCTCCCAAAGTGTTCGGATTAAGAACATGAGCCAACATACTTGACCAATAAATGTCTTTTTTTTTTTTTTTTCTGAGATGGCGTTTCACTCTTGTTGCCCAGGCTCGGCTGCAATGGCAAGATCTCAGCTCACCACAACCTTTCCTCCCAGGTTTAAATGACTCTCCTGCCTCAGCCTCCCAAGTAGTTGTGATTACAGGTGCGCATCACCATGCCCGGTTAATTTTCATTATTTTTAGCAGAAATGGAGTTTCTCCATGTTGGCCAGGCTGGTCTTGAACTCCTGACCTCCGATGATCTGCCCGTCTTGGCATCCCAAAGTGCTGTGATTACAGGTATGAGCCACTATGCCTGGCCAGAAATCTCTATTTTAAGTTAAAGTACAAAAACTTATTTATCTAAATGACTGGTCCCCTCACCCTTGCAAATCTAGCCACCTCTCTTTGCTTTTTTTTTTGAGACAGAGTCCAGCTCTGGCACCCAGGCGGTAGTGCTGTGGTGCGATCTAAGCTTACTACAACCTCTGCCTCCTGGGTTCAAGCAATTCTCCTGCCTCAGTCTCCTGGACGGTAGTATCTGGGATTACAGCCACCTGCCACTATGCCTTCCTAATTTTTATATTTTTAGTAGAGACAGGATTTCACCATGTTGGCCAGACAGGATTTCACCATGTTGGCCAGGCTCCTGACTTCAGTGGTCTCGAACTCCTGACCTCAGGTGATCCTCCCGCCTTGGCCTCCAAGAGGGCTGGGATTACAGGCATGAGCCACTGCACCCAGCCTAGCCATTTTTCCTGCAATAATATTGCAGCTGTTTGAAATATTTTTGGGTCTCTACTTTATAGTTTTGCCTTCACAGAGGTGGTGATCCTTACTTGAAGAGTGGTTTTGTTACTTTAAAATCCAAAACTATAGCAACAAATCCTATTGTCCAATACAATATCCACTATATTTAACTTCTGGAAACAGTGTTGAACATGCACAGCATTAGTTGGAAATCAGATATGTTAGGTAGCACACTTTTTTTTTTTTTTTTTTAAAGATGGGGTTTCACCATGATGGCCAGGCTGGTCTTGAACTCCTGACCTCAGGTGATCCACCCACCTCAGCCTCCCAAAGTGCTAGGATTTCAGGCGTGAGCCACCGTGCCCAGCGAGCACACACTTTTTAATTAAAAAATAAATTGTTATATAATTTTTAACTGTATTAACTGTATATATGTGACAAGGATGTTGAATCCATAATTTAATGGATATTACTTAAGGAAAAGCTGTATTGCTTAAGGAAAAACTTATTTAAGTAAAAATACAGTGAGTTAAATTGCTGAGAGATAGTAAGCAGTAACCCAGTTATGATGATGAGACAAAGATTGTGAGGGGGGTATATCAATGACTAAGGTGCGAGAAACACCCATGGAATGAAAAGAGCAGAGGCTCTGGGCTCCAGTTATTTTGCTGATTATCCAGGAGTCTGTGGGCGAGTGACTTACTTTCTCTGAGCCCTACTTGCTGATCCATGTGGTGAGAGTGAGTTGCAGTGGTGATCAGAGATAAGTTTCATGGGTACTCAGCACAGTACCTAAAGGGCTCCATAGTGCAAATTCTTAAAAAATCAGAACCATGCTCATGGGACAAAGCTATTGAATCTACTTTTTGAAAGTTGCCACAGTTTGAAGGGAAAACCAGGGACATTTCATTAAGTGTGATGAGCAAAAGGTGGCAGCTGGATGGCTGCTCTGATGGCTCAAAGTATTCCTTTGAACTTATTCACCTGGGCCTGTTTGTTAAGGGACCAGTCTCAGAATGAAAGAGTCAGGTAGTTACTCCGTATATGATGCTAAATAACTGGTGCTACCCTTGAACTCTAAGAGTTTATCAACTCATAGACATTAAGCCATGAGAGTCTGTCTCTTACTGACCCTGACAATCTCTCTCTCTTTTCCTTGGTCAATTCAAAGCTTATAACTAAACTCATAGATCAATTCTAGAAAACGGAATCACCTTATGAACCACTTGCTCTTCCCATTCACCTACACTCCTATGCTAAAGTGCACTTTCCTTGGTACTGGTATTTTTTATTCTCACTCTACTATTTTATACAAATTCCCATTCTTAAAAATCTTTTTTTTTTTTTTTTACTATAGAGATCAGTCTTACTATGTTGCCCAGGCTGGTCTTGAACTCCTGGGCTCAAGCAATCCTCTCTCCTTGGCCTCCCAAAGTGTTGGGATTATAGGCGTGAACCACCCTTCCTAGTCCAGATTCCCATTTTGTGTATGTCCAGTGTGAAAGGGAGAGTACATAATATCTTAGTCAGCTCAGGCTGCCATAACCAAATTGCTTAACAATGCAAATTGGCAGGGCCCAGTGGCTCACCCCTGTAATCCCAGCACTTTGAGAGGCCAAGGCAGGCGGATCACAAGGTCAGGAATTTAAGACCAGACTGGCCAACATGGTGAAACCCCATCTCTACTAACAAATACAAAAAATTAGCTGGGCATGGTGGCTCATGCCTGTAATCCAAGCTACTTGGGAAGCTGAGGTAGGAGAATTGTTTGAACCGGACCCAGGAGGGGGAGGTTGCAGTGAGCTGAGATCACGCCACTGCACTCCAGCCTGGGCTACAGAGGGAGATTCCATCTCAAAAAAAAAAAAAAAAATGCAAATTAACTTTTTCACAGTTCTGGAGGCTGGAAGCCTAAGATCAGTATGTCCATATGGTTGGATTCTGGTGAGGGCTCTTTTCCCAGCTTTCACATGGCTGTCTTCTTGCTTTGTCTTCACATGGCTTGGGTGTTGGAGGAGCAAGCATGTTAAGTGCAAGCTGTCTAGTGTCTGTTATAAAGGCACTAATCCCATTATGATCCTCCCACTGTCAGGACCTCATCTTACCCTAATCGCCTCTCAAAGGCCCCATCTCCAAATACCATTACACTGGAGGTTGAAGGGTCAACATATGAATTTTGGAAGGCTACAACATTCAGCCCATGACACTCAGTAAATAAGCAGATAATAAAAGTCATGTCATCTTTTGCCAAGAGCCAGCAATTTATCATCTGTGTCCCACCAGAATTTCCAGACTATCCAAAGAAACGTCTTCTTTCTTGGATCAGTCATTGTAAAACTAGGCAAGCATGCTGACAATGGACCACAAATACTTGTTCTCATACGGAGCCAAGTTTATATCCCAAATTGTTCATCAGCCATTACTGATTCACAAAAGATGAGCAAGATCTCCTGACATATCAATTTAGTAAGTTCTCTTCCTCACTCTAGCTGGGCACCTCAAGTAT